TATCCTGAGGCATTGACCTCCAAGTCTCCCAGTCATGAATTATTAAATTTGTTTCTGTTTTTTCTTCATCCTTCACTATACCCCTCATACAGGTAGTTGGGGGCCTTGGTCAGGTCCTTGATACTTGGATATCCATTTGAATCTGTTTCATGGATTATTTTTCTTTCCTATGAATGTTCATGGCTTCCATCATTTTCCTAAGCTCCTCTATTTTTATCTGTAACTGCTCTAGAGTTACCAAGCATGTCTTTCATTATGGTCATCATCTCTGTAATCATGTGAGAAAGGATTTATGATTTGATTTTTTCTAAAGCCTTCTTCATCTGCTTTGTTACTTCTGCTGTTACCACTTCAGAGAGTCAAGGTGGAGGAGCTTTAAAATTATTCCACCTCCTTGTCCCCTGAGTTTGCCTTTGGTGACTTGGAAGTCTGGGGGTGCATCTTGCATAAATGTCTTCTCATTTTCTATTTTTTTAGTTTAATTCCTGTTTTGACGCTTGTAAATTGCTAATGGAAAGTAGTTTTATTGCTAGTATTAATAACTCTTAGGAAATGACCACTCAGATATTTTCCAGGTGTAGCTGGCTTTTGGTTTTTGAATCTATTGCAAGATTTTATTCCTTCAGTTTATTGGGAATGGAAAACTGTAGCTTACTTGACCTAGCTCTTGGTTCTTTGGAACTGACCTTTATTGTTTATTAGCCTTAAGCAATCCCAATCTTGGCATAACAGGAACAACAATTGATTAAAACAATTATGTCACTTTGTTCAAAGTAGTACAATCAACAATAACAATAGTATCAAACACAGCCTAGAAAATGATAAACTTGGTAATGATTGATTTGTTATCTTTAACTATATGAATTATATATGTGGTTATATTAACAAAATCTAAAACAAACCAGAAAATTGTCAATATGCCTTCAATATGGCAATTTTACCCTCAGGGGAGAAAATTTAAAAGAGGTTGGGGGTAAAATAGAGACATAGGAGCACAACAGATTATAAGCAAGGCTGGAGGACAAAGAAAGATTATGCAAACTTTGGGAAGCCCCTAAAGAAGACAGGAGGGAAAGAAAGGAAGAAATATAAACAGAACAGAACAACACAAAACTAGAAACAATGTCCACACTCATATAAAAACAAGAACAAACAATCAAGAAAAAAACAAAACAAAAGCGAAACAAAAACACAAACAGGAAAAAAAGAAGAAAAAAATATCCACTTCAAGGTGTGTCTCTGCTGTCAGTGGTAGATAGAGTGGGCAGAGTCCAGATCTATGTTGATTCATCCCAGCAAGTCAGCTATTGATTTATGGTGGGGTAGTGGATAATCCCAGCAAGGCTGCACCTTTAGTTCCACTGAAGTTCAACTAGTTTCTGGTTGGGAGACTGAAACCAAATTTGTTCAGCTTGCAACACTCTTTGTGCCTCCTGCCAGTTTAAACTTGGCTCCCTGATTGCTTCAACTTGGCCTCTTGATCGCCTGTCAATTTGCACTCAGTTCTGTCTCGCCCCAATAGTTGAAGCTGCTAGATGGAGCCAGCCAGCAACTGCTCTGAGTTCCAAGCTCAATTGGTCCCTCTCCAAGATGGCTACTGGCCAATTGCCCTTTTCTGGAAGGGGGTGTGTCTGAAACCAAATGACTTGCCAGCCACTGCAGTCTGCTGCATCTGAGGCTCCATTCCACTGGTGCATTTCTCTTTGGAGGCCTCTGGGGTCGCCAGTAGTTGCTGTGTGTCTGTAGGTTCAGGGCACCCTTCCTATGCAATGAGTTGGTTCAGGGAGAAAGCTACCTCCTTTTTTGTTGAAGTCTCTCTTCTCTCTCTCTATGAGCTTCAGTTCCTGCTTTAGATCCTTGCTGGGTCCCAGTAATCCACTTCCTTCCTTCTCTTCCTCACATTGATATATTCCAGCATCTAGACACCAAATATCAGAGAGGCTGTTTCTCTGATGTTCACCACTCTGCCATCTTCCCAGAGGTCCTCTCTCATCTTATTAAAAAAAAACTATGGCTTGGAGAGTCTCTCGTTCTGATGTCCTGGCATCTGCACTTGGCCACAGCTGTGAGATCAGATGGGGTTCCCATGGAGGATTCCCATGACACGTGTGGCAGGGTTCCAGGTCCCAGGAGATGCTCTCCCAGAGAGACATTCACACTACTTTGTGCTATTTGCCTCAGCCTCATCCACTTGCTAAAAACTTCTAAAAGGTCCTGAGGATATAACTTAGTAAGAAGGCCCTGAGTTTGAACCGCAGTATCAGTCAGTCAATGAATACACTGCCTTTCAGATTGCTTAGAAAGTGAGGTAGCTGCTCCAAAAAGGGAGGGAATTTCTTGAGGTAAGTGGAGTCCACAGCCTTGATTGTAGCCCCTTTAGTTTATGGAGCTCTCCCTAGCATGTGTCCTCAAAGAGTCAAGAACCCAAGCATCAAGGAACATCACATAATCTTCCCATTCTTTCAGGTATTTGGAAGTAAAGTGTATAGAGGAATGTCCATGGCTGACAACTGTCCTGTCAGGGCCGCTGACCTCTACCACTTAGGCTAAATGTCAGGATCAAGACAATGTTCACAGCCTCTTTGTGAGGAATTGGGTGTAAAGATGTAGGACAGCAGTGCTTGACATGATTTGAACAAAAACCTACATAATTTCAGCCGTAAAAATGTTTCTCTTGGCTGACACATATCTCAGCGGTAGTGTTACCAGGTTCTGTAGACTTTCTCCAGGGACTGTTTCTAGTTCTTGTCCCAAACCAAGACATGAAAAAAGGGTAGCAAGGTTTTACCTCTATTACAGGAAAAAAAGCTCTGCAGAGTTGGACCATCTGCAGGTAGAAAAGAAAGACCTGTGCAGAGTGACAGCAAGACACTAAAGAGCTCACAGTCACCAGGAGGTTAATGGCGAGGTCTTTTGGATCCCTCAGTCTCCAGGATGGTGTCAGACTAGGCCATTCTATCAAAATGCTGCTTGATCTTGTGCCAGAAGAACTGAAGACAGCACTTTCCGATTGGTCCCAGATGCAGGGTTGGGAACTGTGTTCTGTGGATCTCCGTGATTGACAGGCCTTGCCCACTTGCCCAGTCAGTTCACCACACCCTAATCTCTGGTCTCAGTAGAATGCATGTTTTTAGTTTGTGCCAGGCCTGGGGCTGGTGTCTGGCACCCCTCCCCCCAAAAGCTTCATGTAATGATGGACTTTGGTTTCTATCTAGTTTTATTTCACCTGTTAATTGCAGAGAGAAAAGATGGATCTCTAATTTTCTTTATCTCTGAGAATTTATTGTATACAAGGGACTGAGGCTTAATGAGAAGAGGCCAAGGACAGCATGACAAATAATTATAGATTGAACATTTGTAATTTCAATTTAATCATAAATTTGCCCCACCTTTTTTCTTATTGTCTGACAAAAGAACCAGTGTCACCTTGACAAATTTCTTTTAATCTGCAAATGTTAAAATTTAATTTCACTGGGTAAAACTGAAAGAAGGAAACAGCAGGAAGTTTCCTCAAATTAAAAATTATAAATAGAAATACCACATTATCTAGAAATCCATTTTCCTGTATGTAAAAGGGAGAGCTGAAAGCAAGATCTCAAAGGGGAATTTATTATTATTTTTTGAGACAGGGTCTTGCAGGGGCTGGGGATTTAGCTCAGTGGCATACGCGCCTGCCTTGAAAGTGTGTGGTCGTTGAGTTCGATCTGCGGTACCGATAAAAAAGAAAAAAGAGACAGGGTCTTGCTATTTAATTCAGACTGGGTTTGCAGTGATTCTTCTGCCTCAGCCTCCTGAGTATTGGATTAGTTTGTGCCAGGCCTGGGGATGTACCAGGTAGGTATGCACAGGTATGCACCACCATGCCCAGCTTCAAAGATGCATTTAAGGAGCCATGTTCAAAGCAGCCCTGAGCTGGGGATATAGCTCAGTGGCAAAGCACCTGCCTGGTAAGTGCAAGGCCATGAGTTCAGTCTCTGCTACCAAGAAACAAAACAAAACAGTGCAGCCCTATTCACAGCAGCCAACAGGGGGAAGCAACCCAGCTGTCCATTGTTGCGTAAGTGGCTACACACAGTGTGTTTCTTCCACACTACAGACACCGTTATTCTGCCTTCAAACAGAAGGAAGTCCCATAGTATAACATGAATGAACCCCAAGGAAATGACAATCAGCCAGGCCCCAAAAGACACATCCTGTCTGATCACACTTCTCAGAGGTATATATACACAGTAGTCAAATTCATCAACACAGCAAATAGAAGGAAGCTTGCCAGGGTGGGAAGAAATGAGCTGTTATTCAGTGGGTACAGAGTTTCAGCTTTGATTTTCTCATGATGCTGAGAATCAAACCCTGGCCTTGCACAGGATAGGTAAGTGCTCTACCACTGAGCCCCATCTTTAGTGCGAAAGTTTCAGTTTTTCAACCTGAAAAAGTTCTAGAGACCCATTGCCCAGTAATGTATATAGGGAGCACCACTGAACTATACACTTCAAAATGGACAGATGGTAGACAGGCAGGGTCACGTTCCCCTATGATCCAAGATGGCTAAGCAGGAGGCTGAGGCAACTTAGGGAGACATTGCTTCAAATTTAAAATTTTTTTAAAAGGATGGTGATGTAGCTCAGAGTGAAGGTGACCCTGGGGGTTCAATCACCACTAGCACCACTCAAAAAAAATTATATATATATACATATATATGTGTGCATATATATAGACATATATATGTATGTGTGTGTGTGTGTGTATATATATATATATATATTCAGATGCAATTTTTGCCATAGAAAAAATTAAGCCAAGTGTGCTAGTGCACACCTGTAATCCCAGAGCTGGGGAGGCTGAAGCAGGAGGACCTCCATGAACTCGAGTCCAGTTTGTGCTACACAGTGACTTCAAGACCAGCCTGAACTGCATATCAAGACCCTGTCTCAAAAACCCAAAACCAAAACCAACAAAATCCACAACTTTGGCTTTAAATATTAGAAAGACAATTGGGATAATTTATTTTTTAATTATTTTTTTATTTTAAAGAGTGTAAAACAAGACATAACAAAACAGAACAAAGCAGATCAAAAGAAAACAATGTGACATAGATTTCAAAACATGACAACAGGAGATCATCACTCCCTATCATATTGTCTCTTGTTTTATTCTAAATAGTTGTCTATATCTTCATATACAATGAATTCATACAAAACAAAATAGTATAAAAGTGATCAGAACACAGTGATGAAGGCATTATAGGCCTTCAAAGGCAGACAATGGCTGGAATAATGTCTCTTGTTCTCTTCAAAATAGCTGTCCATACCTTCACATATGTTGAAATCAAACAATACAAAACAGACTAAAAGCCACTCTAAACAAAGAATAAAAATATTACTGATTTCACAGCATGACGATAGGAAATCAGCAATGGATACCATAATGTCTGTTTTTCTTCAAAGTGGCTGTTTACTTCGTCATACATAATACAATTGAGAATCGGGATAATTTAAAGGAAGGCTGGAAATCCACTTGGCTGATAAGAACAAGAAATCCCCCTGAGCGTCCCCTTGAAGTGTGGGAGATCTGCAAGTCCCTCTGACTGGGAAGGATCCAGTAATGCATTTCAGGTTTACAAATAGCATGGGAAAAGAAACAGAAGAGGATGCCCAAGCCAAAGGAAGTGAAAGGCTTGCCAAGTAGCAGGTGCAGGTCCCAAGTCAGGACAGGAAGAGCAACGTGATTAGCGACGTGATTGCGGACGTGAACAATGACAGCCGAGGGCCGCACAGTGCTGTGGAAGGAGATTCCGCTGCTGGCTGAGACATTCTCAGCCACTCTTAGTGTGTGAACGTCTTTCTTGTTGGGAGCTAAAAACAAAATCTGATTCAGAAGTAATAATGTGGACTGTGAGAAATGAAGCGAAAATCAGCTCTCAGCCCAAGCAGCAGGGTCGTGGGAACAATAGACAATACGTGTGACCTCCTCTGTCTGTGAAGGCCCAGGGCTGGGGCTGGCATCCCTCCCACGCTATTCTTAGTACCCTATCAAACCTTTTCCCCTTTCTCCGGCACACCACTCTCCGCTCTCCCTTTGCTTTGAAACAATAGATGTTCACACTGCATCTCAGACTTGAAAATATCACGACCTCCTCTCTCCCCCAACAAGATGTGACCGGTTTGCCCTCTGCAGGGTTACAGTTACCTCAAGGACATCAGTGAGTAGACCCAGAAGACTGATAAAGTAAAGGAGGCTTCACATTTGGGACAGTGCGCAAAAACAGACTTGCAGATTTGGTTTTGTTTCTGTTTGTTTTTTTGGGATGTAGTCTCCTTATGTACCCATGTAGCTCAGATGGCTTTGAATTCCTGATGATCCAGTAGTGCTCCCGATTTAAAGGACTTGCTGGTTAAATGAGAACTAGTGACAATAGCAAGCAAGGACACGCTCTGCTCCTTTGTACACTAACTGCCATCTTGTGCAAAATCCCTGCTTAGACAGGACACGTGAGTGCAAGGACAGGAGCCAAGGCCACCCAGCCCAAAGCAAGGGGCACTTCAGGTCCACACACCTACAAGAACTAAGCTGCTCTGGATGTAGGGGCCAACCCAGGCAGAGCATGGGAGTGTGTTGCTGTCTCGTAAGGTAACACAGCGAGGGTGCCCACCAGCCGGACAGCGAGGTATGAGTCAGAGGCTCTGTTTTCCTTCTCCTTTCATCTCCAGTGTCTACTGGCATTTAGGAGACATTTGCTGAGTGAATAAGAAAAAGATATTTGCTTTTCATTTTCATGGCACAGAGGATTAAACCCACAGCTTTCCCACTGAGCTATACCCCCCCAGTCTATTTTATACTTTTTGAGACAGGATCTCACTAAGTTGCCCAGGCTGTGCTCAAGCTTGCCATCCTCCTGCCTCAGCCTCCTAGAGTACAAATGGGATGTCTGTGAGCTGCAGATTTTGCCGTGCAAGTGGCTGCTGCATTAGGACTGTGCCAGGCATTCTAAGGGAATGTGTGCTCAAACACACTGGGGTTCCTGCTGACCTTGCCTGCACTGGCATAACTACCCTCCCAATATGTGCTTTCTGACCTTCTTGCAAATCAAAAGAATTCCAGTTCTTCATTTAGCATATTGTTTCCCACATAAAAGACATCTGTCAGACTCCGTCACAGTCAGATTAAGTTATAGTCAATGAGTATAGTGAAGTAATGAATGGAACTTTTGGAAGGCAGGTTGCATATACTCCTTTCTTCTTCCATTCTGCTCCTTGGAGATATAATAAGATGGCTGGAGCTCTAGCAACTATTTTACACCCTAAGAATGAGGCCCATATCCTATGGATCACACCATGGAAAAGTAAGAAAAGCCTGAGCCTCTCATGGAGGTGTCATACCAGCCCTGGACTGCTTATTTATTCTTTTCTTTTCTCTTTTTTCTTCAGTACCATGGATTGAACTCAGGGCCTTCACACTGAACTACATTTCCAGCCCATTTTTAAGGGTCTTACTGTGTAACCCAGGCTGGCCTTCAACTCTTGGCAATCCTGCCTCAGTCTCCTGAGTGCTGAGATTACAGGTACATGCTACCATGCTAGGCTTGGAATGCATTTTTTATTTAAAAAAAAAAAGATTACGATAAAAGAGGACATAACAACACAGGTCAGAACAATTTAAGCAACATAGTGTTTCACCACAAGACAACCTGACATAACAGTAGCTACCATAGTGTCTCTTTCCTTGAAATATTTGAGTATACCTTCATATACTATAGTATCAAACATGACAGACAGTGTAAAGCCATTCAAGAGAATGAAAGTATTACAGGATATTCAGAACCAACTATCAAAAAATGAACAATGGTTACTATATTATCTCCTTGTCCATAAAAATTTTTGTTTGTACTATCACATATAATAAAATTCAGTAAGATACAACATGATAAAATCGATGGAGACAGAAGAACAAAAGCTTCAAAACGAGATGATATTAAATCACCATTAGCTATTATAGTGTCTTATTTTCTTCAAAATAGCTGTTTATATCATCACAGACAATAAAATCAAACAACCCAGAATTAAACCATTGCAACTAATGAATGAAAACATTATAAGGCTTCAAAGCAATATAATGGGGAATCATAATTTCCACATATTTTATGTATTCTTACCATTTCTTACACTAGGAAAACTATTTGGTATTTATACATGTGAGTTTGATTTACTCCCCTATGAGTATGGCCTCAAGCTGCATCCATTTATTTATAAATATCTCAATGTGATCATTCTTTAGAGCTTATACTCCATTGTATAAAAATGCCACATCTTTTTATCCATTCCTCAGTTGATGGACATAGGCTTGGAATGCATTTGTAACAGGTGCAATGCATTGGGCCATTTTGGGGGTGCACGATGGTAGAACATGGGTGAAGTGACTTGTCCAGGCCATATAGGCTGCGAGAAGCAGACCTAGGGTAAAAATCTAGGCCCTTTAGCTCCTGGTTTAACATTCTTTCCTTCAAACCAGATGGTCAGAGCTGAGCATGGTGGCCCACACCTGTGATCTCAGCACCTCAGGAGTCTGACGCAGGAGGGTTGCAAACTCAAAGCCAGCCTGAGTAACTTAGCAAGACCCTGTATCAAAATAAAAAATGAACAGGACTGGGATGTAGCTCAGTGATAAAGCATCCTTGGGTTCTATCCCAAATATTGCAAAAGAAAAAAAAGCCCATGTGATCAGGTCCCTTTGGGCACTCTACTTCAGAATAGGGGTCTCCAACCCCAGGGCTCCCACACAGCCAATGCAGAGCGAGCCCTGAGCATTTGCATTTCTGATGAGTCACATGCAAGGCTATGGGAAGCTGCAGGGCAGGAGCCAGGCGGAATCTGCACCCCAAGCTTCTGGGCAGTACAACTTGGACGGGGAAGTCATTTTTTACACAAGTGCCTGAGGAAGAAATGAAAATGCTGAGGAGGCATTCACTGCTTCTTCAGGGCTCAGTTTGTGGCACGGATCGCGTGGCTTCTTAGGGTCACTTGGGTGGAACAGCTTATATAAGCATGAGATTTAAGCAGTGATTTATATAAGTAGTGGTAGAGCCCACACCCAGCACATTCCCCAGCACTAACCCCCCCGAACAACAACAAAATACGGTTTTTTACAATGTGATAATCAGTGTGTTGAGGTGTGTGTGACACACACCTGTAATCCCAACACTTGGGAGGCTGAAGCAGGAGTACTGCAGTGAGTTCAAGCCCATCTGACCTATATAGTGAGATCCTGTCTCAAGGTACCCAAAATTTTTGTAAAAGTTCCATGTTCTATCATGGGTCAGAATTTTACTTCTATTTTTGTGTATGTGTTCCTGAAGCAGGCACTAGAATTTCATTTTTTAAGGCTGAATAGTAGGCCGTTGTGTGTGTGTGTGTATGTTGTTGTTTTTAAACAAAAAAGAAAAGTTAGGTATAGTAGCACATGCCTATAATCCCAGGATTCTGGGAGGCTGAGGCAGGAGGATCACTGTGAGTTTGAGCCCCACCTAGGCAAGTTAGTGAGATCATCTCAAAATAAAAAATAAAAAGGGACTCAGGATGGAGCTCAGTGTCAAAGCCCTGGGTTCAATCCTCAGCACCCCTACAAAGGAAAAAGTTTGATTCTGTTGTCCATACCTAAGCACAAACCAAGTGCTACAGAAAAGGTAACACATGCAGGCCATCTTCCAGACAGTCCGCATCCAACCTGGAAGAAAGATACAAGTGGCTTTAATTGCTGGTGAGAGACGCTGTGACAGAACAATGGAGGAGATAAAGCCTCCCTCAGGCGTCAGAATGGTTTCCGCAGAGGCTGACCTGTGACCTGGCCTTTAAAAACAATGGCTCGAATGTTCCTCTGCACTGCTGACTTCTCCAGGCTCAAACTCTCCCGGGGAACAGGGTGGTCCCGCTGCTATGGCTGTATAATAAATCACCCCCAAACTTGGAGGCATAAACAGTACCCTTTCTGCCACTCAGGGACTCTGTGAGCATCAGTTCCGTCCTGGCTGCTTAGTGTCTTAGCTGGAAGCTGGGAACCCTTCAGTGGGAGGGCTGCCAAGACTCTCCAAGAACGTGTGGAACTGGAAATACCGCTGTGGCCTTTTGGGTCCCAGGAGGGGCAGCAGTACGGGAGGCCAGGGGGGCCACTGGATACACACAGCAGTTCTGGGGATAGTGACTGGGTGCATGAGTACACCCAGCTCCAGGAGCACAAAAACTGTCACTTAACTGTTTGCATCCTGAGTGTCCCACAGAGGTCAAGGGTTGAAGGTTTGGTCCCCAGTGCAACCATGTTCAGAGGCAGGAGGTAACTGGATCAGCAGGGTTCTGATGTTATGAGTAGATCACCTAGTTAGCGGTTCAGAGCAGAAGGGATTATTGGGAAGAGGCAGGGCCTAGACAGACAAACAATTATTGGGTGCATGTTCTCAAAGGGATATTTTGTTCCTGGTTTCTCCCTCTCCCTCTTCCTCCCCTCCCCTCTCCTCTCCTTCCTTTCTAGCAACCAGGAAGCAAGCAGCTTGCAACTTTTCCCCACCACTCATTCTTTGCCATTGTTTTCTTCCTTACCAGAGGCTCAAAATGATTGAAGCAAATAACCATGGACTGAAACATCTGAAACCATGAGCCAAAAACAGGCGTTTCTCCTTTGAAATAATTTTTCTTAGCAAATACCTGTAATTTCAGCACTCTGGGAGGCTGAGGCAGAGGATCACTGTGAGTTCAAGCCCAGCCTGGGCTCTGCGACAAAGCCAATGCAATGACCTTGGGCCACCTCTCAACAAGCCCTTACAATGACACATGTTCAGTGGTGAACAGGTGTCAGTGGTCATCTCTCATTTACGACTGGCATACTCCTGTCAGGAGACCCCAAGGGTTTTCAGTGGACTACATTTTGCTAGGCATGGTACATACCTGTAATTCCAGCACTCAGGAAGCTGAAGCAGGAGAATTGTTGTGACTTTCAAGGCCAGCCTGGGCCATACAGTGAATTCAAGTCTAGCCTGACCTATGTAGCAAGACTGTCTAAAAGAAAAATTAGCTTAAATAGGCTGCTGAAAGCAACCACAATACTGGAATACCTGCTAATTTGGTTTGAGCGTGTTCGAACAATTAGCTTGATTACAGAAAAGTGGCACTTGTGCCTCCAAGCTGCAAGCAGTCACACCTGTTGACTTTAATGTGCTGATGTGTGTGTCTGCCTCCACCTGCCCCTGGCCAGTTCAGACACTCTTGGAGGGCAGGGTCCATCTTATCGGGTCTCCCCAAAGAATTTGGTAACAGGGGTAGAACAAGCCAGCCGACTCCTCGGAAGTGCCTGGGAACCAGCTCTTCATTTACCCTCAACTCTGCCCCTGGCTTTGCAGCCTTAGGTATGGGGGCTTCACAGTACCAGGATTTAGTATCTTCGTGGCAGAATTGTGAATAGGAGCACATTAGTTTGCCCTGCATCTACCCAATAATGGATCCTTTCCTTCTCACTCAAAAATGTTGACCTGGGGTGTTATCATTTTTGTCTGGACGTCCCCCAAAGCCTCATGCACTCATAGGTTGGGGTCTTGGAGAGTGACTGGATCATGGAGGCATAATTCTCAGCAATGGATGAGTTTACAGATAAATGTGTTGTTGGGGAGCCAGGCATGGTGGCACACACCTGTAATCCCAGCACTTGGGAGGCTGAGGCAGGAGGATTCCCATGAGTCTGAGGCCAGTCTTGGCTACATAGTGAATTAAAAGCTAGCCTGAACTATATAGTGAGACCTTAAGTCAAAAAAAGTCCCCCTAAAATTAAAAAAAAATGTGATATTGGAAGGTAAAGCCTGATTGAAGGAGGTTGGTCACTGGGAGTGTGGTCTGGAAGAGTCTCTCTCTCCCCGTCCCTTGATCCCTCTCTGCTTCCTGCCTGCCATGCCATGGACTGTTTCTCCTCTGTGATGCCCCTCTTCCATGCCCACCTGCCTTGGTGTCAGCTGTGGACTGAAACTTCTATAGACTATGAGCCAAAATAAACCTCTCCTTCCTTAAATTGTGGGTGTCGGGTATTAGGTCCCAGCAATGAGAAAGCAACTGAGACATGGGGGATAGTGACACATGCCTATAATCTCAGGTACTAGGAAGGCTGAGGCAGGAGGATCTCAAGTTCAAAGCTAGTCTGAGCAACTTAGCAAGATCCTGTCTCAAAATTTAAAAAAAAGGCTGGGGATGTAGTTCAGTAGCATAGTGCTGTTGGGAGATTATATATAATCTCCAAAATATATATAATTATATATATATATACATATACATATATAAAATATCATATATAGACTCCCCGACTTCACCCTTCCCCATTTAGCTCTTTTATTTTCCATGAGTCTTTCCTCTTCCCCATTCCTCAGACTTTAAGACTGCAGTGCTTCAGAGATTTCCCTTAACTCTGCAGGAGGAGAAGGAGGAAAAAGAAAGGCAAGCACCAGCAGCCTCATCTCTGAGAGGAAAACAAGTGCTGGCATGCCCTAGAGGCTCAATCAGTACAGAAAGCTAAATCCTTTCATTCATTAATAAAACACATATTTACTAAATCTTGCTAGAGTCCAAGCATTTATGGAAGAAGCTGGAGATAGAAGAGGAGGAAAAAAGCCCCTCATCTTTGCAGACTTTAGGAAGTGTTACTCGTCAGTTACAGTTTGCAGGAAGCTGGGTATAGATGAAAGAACGAAGATACAGAACGAAAACACAGCAAGGAAGTAAGCTCCCTTCCGTAGGTGGTCAGAGCCCCAACCAGGCCCCAGATGACAGCAGCCAGCCTCACAGAGGCCCAGTGTTACCCAGCATTGGTGACACCTGCAGCATCTGTAGTAGGGGCGCAGACTGCTGTAGTGCTGCCCATGCGCAGGAGCGTGTTGGCAGCCTCTCTGGCTTCTGTCCTTCCCAAGTTGAGACACTTAAGGCACCTAGAGGGTGCAGGAGCCAAGGCCAGGGCACCCAGGTTCACCAGCTTCACCAGTCCTCCCTCTGAGTGACTCGCCTCCCGTGCCAAAACAGCAACTGACGGTCTGAGAGGACAGGGGCAAAGAGGGAGTGGGAGTGGCCAGGGGGCTGAGTACTTTCTGTTCACCAATCAGAACTGAGTCAGTCCCAGAATGCACTGGGTGTGCAGTCAGGTAGGCCCCACGGAGCGCAGCACAGGCCCCTGCTTGAAGATAATCCCTTGCTGTCCCTCAAACTGAGAAGGATCAAGCAGCTACTTTTCTATTATCTAAGACTAGTTTTGCTGGTGTGGTGTCATATACCTGTAGTCCTGGTGCCTGGGAGGCGGAGGCAAGAGGATTGCAAGTTCAAGACACTGTCTCAAAAAAAAAAAAAAAAAAAAAAAAAACTGGGCGGGAAGATCGCTGAGAGTTTGAGGCCAGCCTGGGCTACACAGTGGGTTCAAGGCCAGCAAGAAATACATAGCAAAGGGGTGGGGGTGTGGCTCAGTGGGAGAGTTCTTGCCTTGCATGCACAAGGCCCTGGGTTTGATCTCCAGCACAAAAACAAAACAAAAAAATAGCAAGACCCTGTCTCCAAATAAGAAAGACTGAATTTTTAGTTGCTTTTAGGAGCTGTTTTAATGAACTAGAAAAAAATAATCCAACTGTACTTCAAATTTTTGTCCTGTCAGATGTATCATGTTTATCATTAACTCCCTAGAAATAAGTTAACAATATTAAATAAGCTACAAAGAGATGAACAACTGAGCCAGTATCACCTGAACTCTCAAAGGATATTTTGGTTATACAGCTGTATGTTGGTTCATGAATTTGATTTGTTCCATGATTCTACAGATGGCCATGTTCATGTTCGTGAGTCGATGCAGAATTTGCAAACAAAAACAAGATTTTCCCAAATGCTTCTACTTGTGAACCAAATTGTTCACAAACAAAAGTGTTCATAAATCAAAGTACCACTGTCCTTGTACTTTGAGGAAGCCCTTCATTCTCATTTTATTTTATTTTATTGTTTAGTTTTTTGAGACAGGATCTCACTATTTGATTCAGGCTGACCTTGAACTCAATAGGTAGTCCAGGTTGGTCTCAAACTCACAGCAATCCTCCTGCCTCAGCCTCCCAAGTGCTGGGATTACAGACATGTGCCACCATGCTTCACTAATTGTTTTCAATATATTCAGACATGTATAACCATCACCCCCCAGAAGAAACCCCAGTAGAAATCACTCCTCACTCTCTTGTGATTAGTTCCTATGTCAACTTGACTATGGCCCAAGGGGTCCAAACACTACTCAAGGTGCCGCTTCGAGGGCTGTCCTGTAGATGGGATTGAAGTGCACCTCAGTTGACTGCATCCGCATGGCTGACTGAATCAGGGAAAGGGCGGACAGGCAGAACTGAGGCTTCGAAGCAGAAGAATGCTTGCCTGGGCCTGACTTGGACTCCTGCCTTCGTGCTTGCCTGCTCCTGGTGCCTCCCTGCCCTGTGGACTGCAAGCGCCCGCAGCTGCCTAACCAAGTGCCCGTGGTCCCCTGTGCGGTGTGTGTCTCCTGCTTGCCCTGCTACTCTGTGCAACCTCCAACTGCCCGCGTTCTGTCCTCTCCCGCTCTTTGAAATCCTAAGCAACTACTGGCTTACTTTCTATATCTATGACTTTGTTTATTGTTGACAGTCCAAATAAGTGGGGTCATACCATATATGCGCTTGCTGGATGCGGTGATGCATGCCTATAATCCCAGCTACTTGGGATGCTGAGGCAGGAGGATCAGAAGTTCAAGGCCATTTCCGGCCAATTTACCAAGCCTCTGTCTCAAATTTTTAAAAAAGGGCTTGGGATGCAACTTAGTGTGAAGGCCCTGGGTTCAATCTCCATACCACAACTCCCCTAAATAAAGCCCTCCCAACATATACTCTTTTGTGACAGAGTTTTCACTTGGCATGATTTCAGTGTCACTAATGTAGCCTCGATCAGTCCTTCAATTCTTCTGCCGGAGGATCACACATCGTTGCATGGAAATATATTCGGTGCACCCCAGCATGGGCTTTCTGCTACCTGCTATGGTAAACAGTGCTGCACTGGACATTCATATGTAGATGAGCGCGAGGCGTGTTTTCGTCCCTCCCGATATAGACCCAGGGTTGGAACTGCTGAGTCGCCTCATACTGGCCTAACATTTGGGGAAGTGCCAGGCTGTTTTCACCACATCCTTGCCAACAGTTGTTCTTCATTTTAGCGGTTCTCAAGTGTGAAGTGGGACGCACTGTGAGTTTGTGTGTGTTTCCCTGATAGCTTCTTGTGTGCTCACTGCTCACATGTATATCTTTTGAAAAAAGTCTTTTCAGATCATTTGCCCAGTTTTAACTTTTCTAAATGTTGAGCCGTAAAGTTCTTTATATTCTAGATATAAGACTTATCAGATACATGACCTGCAGGGTCCTCCCTTCCCTGTATTCCGTGAGTTATCTTTTATTGCTTTTTTTGTTTGAAATAGAGTCTTACTATGTAGTTCATCCTGGCCTTGAACTCACTATGTAGATGTAGCCCCGGCTGGTGTCAAATTAATGGTGATCCTCCTGCCTCAGCCTCCCAAGTGCTGAGATTACAGGTATGTGCCAGCACACCCAACTGTTTTTTTATTTTGAGACAGCATCTCACTAAATTGCCCTAGCCTAGGCTGGTCTTGAACTTGTAACACTCCTGCTTCGGCTTCCTGAGTAGCACCAATTACAAGTGTGTGCTCCTGTATCCAGTTTTGACTGTTGATATTGATGCCACAAGTTTTGAAATTTTGCAGTAGTTCAATCCATCTACTTTGGCAGTCGTGTTTTTGGTGTTGTATCTAAGAAACCACTGCCTAACCCAGGTCCCATACCATTCCATTACCAAGATTTACCCCGTGGTCTGTTTTGAAAGGCTTAGAGTTTTAGTTCTGCTATTTAGGTATATGGTCCCAAGACCTCTAAAAGTCTTACCTTTGGAGGAGTGTTTTCCCAGGGAAATGTTTATGACGCCATCCAAAAGGAAACAATTAAACTATTGTTAGGAGGAAATGTGTACTGCTGCTCCTTAGCATTCTGCTCCTGCGGGGAACAATATTTGCAATGCACCAATGCTCTGTTTAGGACAAATGAGCGCTTTCACAAGGCCAGCTTCTGAATGGGGCGCAGTGATGACCTATTTGCTGGAGAGCCAGTCCAAGCTGCTGGCTTCATGCATGAGGGAGGAAGAAAGGCTCCACTGTGAGGGGCAGAAACCCCCAACACCCAATTGCTAATTTCGTCTGAACAAGGTAGCTCAGAGCCTTATGTGGCTTGCAAAAATCTACTTTCTCTTTGCTCAAGGAGGATGAATCAAAACTGATTCTTAGTGTCTTGTGACCTGGAAATATTTAATATAAATATAATGGTCCTTTTATGTATGTTTTCCCTGTTAAAGCTGGGAGGAAGATGACATAACATAAAGCAAAGGCTGTCTTTGCAGGTGGCGGGTGGGGTGGGGTGGGGTGGGGGTGGGGGTGGGAGTGTGTGTGTGCCAAGATTGACAAACCGAGTCCAGGGACTCTGCACTGAACTGTAGTTGCAGCAGCTTCAGGTTGTCACAGTGGGGTGCAGATTAGGACCAGCAGGGGAGAAAGAAGTGGGCTATCTCCTTTCAGCCTGGATGCTGACGCTGTCCCTTCTGCAGCAGCCTCTGGGTGGGCTTCTCCAGGAAGGTGAGCTAAGCCTCCACGCCTGAGTCCTGGGTCGGGAGTGGCATTTAGGAGCCTCTGCCTGGGGCTGCCTGCCCAAGTCCAGATGCCTGGCAGGATCCATGTCATCCCTGTGAGCCACACAGCTGGGCATGGGCCCGGGCGCTTGGGGCATAGTTTCCAAGAGCCTGCCCTGGCCACACCACACACACAAGCTCAGATGTTTTTAGTTTTGGGGTTTTTTTTTTTTGTCTTTTTCCTTTTTTTATCGGTACCGAGGATCGAACTCACGACTGCCTGCTTGCAAGGCAGGTGCTTATGCCGCTGAGCTAAATCCCCAGCCCCTTTTTAAAGATTTTTTTGTTTTGCTCAGATGTTTTTAAGAAAGCACTCAAATTTAGCTGGGGTCCTGGGAGGCTGAGACAGGAGGAAGGCTACAAGTTTGAGACCAGCCTAGGCTAGGTAGTGAGTTCAAGGCCAACCTGAACTACATGAGACACTATCTCAAAAAAGAAAAATGTTTATTTCGGGTGATATTCTGAAGTAGTAATCATTTCACAGAGTTGAAGGTTTTTTTCCCCCAGAATTTAGAAAATATAAAGCTGGACACAGTGGCCAATAGACCCAGCTACTCAGGAGACAGAGGCAAGAGGCTCTCTTGAGCCTAGGAGTTCAATGCCAGCCTGGGCAACATAGTGAGACCTATCTCAAAAAACAAAGCCAAATTAAGTGTATTACTCCAATAGATAATGTACAGTGGTATGATTAAGCTATTAATATATAAGAGATGCTTAAGGGACAATGGCATACGTTATTATTCAAATTGATATTAATCCTAATTGAACAACCCTATTGATTAAAGTAGGGTAGACTGGATCTCAACTGATCTCTCTCTCTCCTCATATATATGTATATACATATACATACATATACATGTATATATGGTTTTTTTTTTTCAAAAGGTCTTGCTAGATAGTTCAGCCTGGTCTTGAACTTGAGGCAATCCTCTTGCCTCAGCCTCCCAAATGCCAGAATTACAGGTGTGTGCCACTATGCCCAGCACTACACCTAGCCAAACATTCAAATTCCTGCTAATACATGAAAGTAATAAGACATTATTTTCCATATACTGTACCACTAGTGAATATTAATGAGTGAGCCCAAGGGATACGTCCAGAGTGATCAAAAGCCCTGGGGAAACTCTTGCTGAATTTGCTGGGGACAGAAGGTACTCCAAGGGAAAAGCAATGCTCACATAAAAAGGATGAGTCCTAACTCAGTAAAATCATCTGGTCTGAAGCTAGCACCTCCTGTTTTATAAAATGTATTTCTTTGAATACTTTTATATACCTAGAAATAATAGT